GAATGTAAACAGTATGTTGTTAGGCTATTCAAATACATTAGAATAAATGTGTCCGAACACTGATGCACTCATCATAATCCTATGTCTTTTGAATAACTTAATAACATACCTTTTTACTTTTATTCTTCTTCTCCAGCTCATATTAATTCGAGATGTGTGGCTTTTTTTGCTTAACTTAGAGTCTTATTCTGATGCATAACCAAATAATCAATAAATAATCTATGTACATTGCTCTAAGTTACTGATGATGATATCAACTCTTGTTGTTGTAATATACACACATAAAATCTTGTTTATATCTTAATTCTAGTTCATATGTGTTTGCATAGCCTAGTAACAAGCTGAATACTATCTGCCTTATCTGAACCACTTAACTACATTTAAACGACTGGTTCACAAGGCATAGAATACTCTGACGTTGGTTATGATCACCCTATTATCATATGTCGGTGGGTAGAGATGTAGCATATAAATACAGTTTGTTGAAATCATGATGGGAGATGCATGCATAAATAGTTAGTTAGTTAGTTATAAATGTTTATATAAACATTAACCTATTTAATGGATATTTATGAATATTTATCGGATTTCATAATCAAGCCATATGATAATAATAATAATAATCATAATAATAATAATTATTATTATTATTATTTTGAATGATGATAGTTATGATCACATGATTTTTGTGGAAAAATAACACACGAACTATTTTTCAAATGTTATTTATAAATAATTATTGTAATTGTAAATCAATATTTAAATCATTAGAATTAAAACGATGATGAAATCTGTAGAAGGTGGGAACATCATCACTCACTGGGGAATGCAGGCACATACAGATGATGAGTCCCAAATAGGACGAAATGCGCATCCTGGATTCCACTGCTAGTCACCATCCACCAATTAAATCTGTAGAAGAGTTAAATAATATTCAATTAATGAGTGTGAATAGCGTTCTGAGAAAATGGACATTAATGTGTTTAGTTGTAGTCACAATAAGACAATTGATTGTTTATAGTCCTGAAGATTTGTGTATTCGATAGTGAGGCTATCTGAGATGGGTTTGAGCTGACAAACATCCCCACCATCCAGAAACAAACTTGGTCGTCTACTTCTAATTTACTATAATTAGGACTGATAAAAGAATATCTACCTGAGTAGTCACTGTAATGAAAAACATGACATTATCGTAAATCGAATTCTCAGTTTGCTATTTACATAGTTCGAGGAGGTGGAATTTCATTACAGTTTGCCTTGGATGTGGGTTGTTCTCTTTCCTGATAGAGAGAGACCTAGTTATCTGATGTGGTGTTCTGAGGTCTCTATTACCTGTGGCCTGAATGTTCTGCTTCAGTTGCTAGCCAGTGTGTAGTAGAATTGTCTTTTGTCTTTGCTAGCACTCTTCTTTACTTCTTCATTCGGTTCGATGTACGTTGAACTCGGCTTCTCCTTCTGTTGTTCATCTTTGCATTGAGTCGTCTTCTTTTCCACCATCCTCCTCTCCTGTCTTCTAATTATTATTATTATTGTTTCCTTTAATTCCTAGAGGAACATAGGGCTTCAGCCACGCGTCTCCATTGCGTTCGGTTCTCTGCTAGAGTCTTCACCTGGCTCCAAGTCTCCCCACACGTTTTCATCTCCTCTTCACATGACCTCCTCCAAGTCACCCTCACACTGACGACCAACTCACCGCTTTCCATTCTGTTGGGTTCCACTCGAGCAATGGCTTGTATAGTGATATCACTTGATGCTTTGTTTCTTTAGAGTATGGCCAATCCACCTACATTTCTTCCTGCCTATTTGTTGCACAATCGGTTCCTGGTTGGTTCGCTCATTGCCAGAGATCTCTGTTGCTGATCTTTTCTGGCCGGCCATCTGATCTTCAGCTAAGTATTGAGCGAAGACAACTGTTAATGAAGGTCTGTAGTTTGTTCGAGATGCTCTTTATGACGCGCAGTGCAAGTCGCCGATCCGTATAGTAGCACTGACTTCACATTGGAGTTGAAAATCCGGATCTTATTTTTGATGCTGAGTGCTGCTGACCTCCACACAAACCTGTCTTCTAATAACTTCTAGGTATCCGTTGTGTATGTATGGTTAGTGTGTAAAAATTTACATTTCAAATATGAAAATTTTTTCTCATGTATACATAATGAAGGAATGTTTTGTGAATGATAGTATCTTTTCAGGTCAAGTGATAGTTGATTTTATGAAAATTGCACTTTTTGTAAATATCAGTTTACCCCTTTTTGAAGTTTTAGTAGCGTAATGCAGACTTTGTGATAAAAACATTTTTTTTTCTCGACCAGTAATAATTTATTTACCCTTAATTAATGTGAAGGTAATGCAGTAAATGCACATGATATCAAAATTAATAAACATATCGTTTCAGAGGGGCTTTTAGAGAGGGGGGAGGTAAAAGTAAAATCACTGTAGAAGCGTTTCGCATTATGAACTATTAGACCACTGAGAAAATGAGGGATACTAAACAGCCTTGTTGTTTTTGGTTTGAAATTCCTTGATGATTTATACGCATATTTCTCTGTGGGATCGAGATGAGGCCCACTGGGTATCGTGTGAAGAAGTTTGCAGAGAAAAGAGATTTGCTGAACCTTTTCACCTACGTTCATCAATTCAAAAGCATTATTCGACAATTATACATCTCATCCAACAGCTGTACGACAATGCTGCATGCCAAGTAATCCACAACGGGAAACTCACGGAATCCTTCGAAGTGAGGACAGAAGTAAGACAAGGCTGCCTACTATCGCCAATGATTTTCCTGATTGCAGTAGATTGGATAATGCGACAAACAGCGGGCAATGAAGAAACAGGTATAAAGTGGACTCACACAAAAACTTGGAGAATCTGGACTTCGCCGATGATATGTGTTTGATTTCCCTTAAACTGGGAGATAAGCAAGTGAAAAGCAACAAGTTGGCAGAAGAAGCATCCAGAGAAGATAGGACTTCAGGTGAACATAGAGAAAACAGATGTGGTGATGAAGATTCCTGGACAACACCACCAACAGCAACAACAACAACATACAACAATCAGCATAAATGGGAGGAACCTGAAAGAAACAACCTCCTTCACCTACCTACCTACCTGGGAAGCATCGTTTCAACTACAGGCGGACGGAACTGACGAGGATATCAAAGCAAGAATCGAGAAAGCAAGACAAGCTTTCATTACTCTCAAGTCTGTGTGTAGGTCAACAACACTCAGCATCAAAAATAAGATCCGGATTTTCAACTCCAATGTGAAGTCAGTCAGTGCTACTTACTATACGGATCAGAGACTTGGCGCGTCCTGACGAGCACCTCAAACAAACTACAGACCTTCATTAACAGTTGTCTTCGCTCAATACCACTCAAGATCAGATGGCCCGCCAGAAAAGATCAGCGACAGGGATCGCTGGGAGCGAACCAACACAGCAGGAACCGATTGTGAAACAAATGGGCAGGAAGAAATGGAGATGGATTGGCTGGCCATACTCTGAGGAATCCATCAAGTGGGTGACATCACTAGACAAGCCATTGCTCGAGTGGAACCCGACCGAAAGGGAAGCGGCGGAGAGTTGGTCGTCAGTGTGAGGGTGGGGTGACTTGGAGGAGGTCATGTGAAGAGGAGATGAAAACGTGTGGGTGGGCAGACTTGGAGCCAGGTGAAGACTCTAGCAGAGAACCGAACGCAATGGAGACGCGTGGCTGAAGCCCTATGTTCCTCTAGGAATTAAGGGAAATAATAATAATAATAATTCACTTATCATCAGTTGAATTTTGATGTTTTGATAACTATCTGAGAGTCATTAAAATATATTCATATATCTATACGCCACAGTTCGTTTTCTCAAACCCTGTCTGTCATCCGACTCCATTTTCGGAATTAGTGGTTGAAAGCTTCAAAATGAGGTAGGCTGACTGGTCAATTTTAGGCGAATATGAACGGTGTATTGTTGGTTGGCACTAGCCGTAACAGGTGTAACCAGGAATTAATATCTCTTTAGAAAATCACTAAAAACCAAGGAGTACTGGATGACTGTTTAGTTCTGACTTGTGACTCTTCAACAATACGCACCCTTCGGGAATCGAACGGCCGACATTCAGGTTACGAGTCAAGCTAGTAGATAATTCAGCCATTGGAACCGAATCAAATAGACAGCCCATAAATGCTAAGTAGCCTGTCTGGATCCCCTGTGGTGTCATGGGTATGTACTGCTGAAAAGTGTCGAACTAGGACGGAATATCTGTCCAGTACTCCTTGGTTTTCAGTAGTTCTCCAAATGATAAAAATCCGTGACCTAACTTGAAACCAGTCAAATCCCTGCAAGCTCACAATTAAAAATTACTTGCAACAGTTGTCATCTACGGAGAACGTGAAGTAACTAAACAGGAAACGAGAGTTGTAATGACACAAAATGAAGTTTAAGCAAAGGGATAAAGATGTTATGATCAGATATTTATCAGTTGATTTTTCGGTGTGGCTCTTAGAGTAAAGTTGACTGATATCTATTGAACTTACGTGATTACTAAACTTTACAAGTTTCAAATAACCCCGCCTACCTACTTGAGGTCAGTTTCAAACACTGTTCCAAAATAGGAAATGTTTTGATTCGTCCCTAGGTAGTTATTAATGTCATATGCTTAGTTCTTGGTTCGGTGCAGACTGAATTCTATCAGTCAGATTTGGAATGTGGTCATCAAGCTTGGTGTATCGATTACAGTAATACAGGAGGTTCATTGCAACCACGAATAGCTCATTGGTAAAGTTTGTAACTGCAGTACTGAGTGACGTGGCTTCGAATCTCTAGGCGGGGTGTGTGTGTGTGAAGGGACACGAGTTCTTTCAAGACTGTAAATACGCCTTACTGACGAGCACAAACAAGCGCAAAACGTAGGTTCAGGACCACCTACTCACTGCCTCCAACTATCAAATAGTAAATATTTCTTCTAATACAACTTTCTTTTGTAATGACTCTCTTCATCTTTACCTAGATGGGTTGCTCCATTCACACATATGTGGTTATCCGATGGTTCAGTAATTATTCCTCGAACAGAAGAACACGATGATCACTTTAAAATACTCATAATGAATGATCCAGATTTAAAAAAAGCATGTGATCAATGGTTAAATGAAAATTTGGAAGAGAAAAACTATATTGAACGTAGTCATCCATTAGGTAAAATGTATCAATGTCTATCGAAAGTAACCGTGAATGATTGGTTGAAAAAAACACCCATCAACTGGATTTATTCAAAGCTTACTGATGAAAATAAATTACCAAGTCCTAATGAACATCGTAGTACAATTATAAAACGTGATGAAGGCAAATCAAAAGTCTACTGTCCACTGTGTATATTAACAACATCAAAGTCTACTGAAGATATCACCAGTGTTAATGATTATAATGATAATGATGACAAAACTAAGCAGAAAAAAATCAATAAACTACGTTCTATTCCATTAGTCTTATTCTCCTCATTGAATTGGCCAGTTCAACATCATCTTCCAGTGAATAATTCCCATGAACACTATACACTAAAACAAGTTGAAACTAGTATTAAAGAAACTTTTGATACTCTTCATAGAATGAATAATAAATTACCAAAATCAAATTTAATCTGGAATATTTATAAGCCCTATTTAAACAAACTAATATCTCAACGTAAAATTGATCAAATTATTGAACATATTAATTATAAACAATTACATGATGCAATCCGTGTAGATTTACGTGTTACATGCTTATACAATTTATACGGGAAAATGTTAAAGTCATCTGTGAAACACTTCAGTAGAAATGCATCAATATTTCGTCTACTGAATCGTATTCCACCTTATTACTATATTAATAATAATAATGATAAATGTGATATACCCTTCTTTCTGACTGATAGTCAATTTAATTGTGGTAGAAATACTCGTCCAGCAATACAAAAACCAAATCCAAATGATCAACAAATATTGCTTGATATCTTTAAACAATTCGCTGATGACCAGTACATATATGATGCCTTAGAATTACCAAAAACTAGAAGTATGGGCGTGCATCATGTACAAGCGTATAATGTCATCAGTGAACAAGGCATTGTTACACTAGGCGAAAGAGAGATTATGCTGCTGTCAGCCTGTGGGGCCTGGTTAATGGATGACATTGATAAGTATAATGAGGATAGTTTCAATCATATGCTAAAATATGGTAAATATAATTAAATGGTGTCATTATTATTATTATTATTACTATGAGTATTTTTTCCCTATTATTACTCACTCATGTCTCACTTTGTTTATTTTGACTTGTTTATATGTTTTTTCTAATAGTTTTATCTAGTAAATTACATAATCTTATGGGGTATTAGTTGTATATGTATATGTATATTGGTTTATACACACGTCGAACAGTGAAACTCAAATCCCTTAAGACTTGTATTATGCGTTTTATTGATTTTTACTGCTTTGCTTCTTTTCTGTATAGTGTTTGTTTATTCGATGAAATAAAGGATTTATTACTTTTTTTGTTCCTTTACGTCCCCAGTGGAACATCGGGCTTCAAGCTAGAGGCCTGAAGTTTCGGTAGCAGTGGTGTTTATTTTTACGGGGTGGGTTACTAGCCTCATGCCCAACTTTCCCTCTTTACCAGTCTTATTACTCGCTTAGCTAGGTAAAGGAGTGCGTCGGTGGCTGGGATTCGAACCACTCTGAACCAATTGCGTGGTTGAAGAGCATTCTACCGCTGTGCCACTGACGCACGATTTATTACTACCTATTTTCTAAATCAATAAATAGAGAATCATTGAAAATCACAAGGAATTCGTTTGTGTGATAAAAGTTCCGGAAAAGTCTCATCGATCTACGAAAGCATCTATTGTAGCATCTCGCATGTTCCTCCGTGAAAGGATACACAAATGTATATTAGCAATAGAACATTATCACTATCGAATTAATAATATTGATGATTGTCTTAATATTCTTGTATCCAAAGATTATCTAACTACCATTACATAATTATTCGAAGATTGAAAGAACAGTATGCAGCTTATTAGATAGAGAAATCAATGGATATGAAGTGGCATTACTTGAGAAAGGACTAAACTTTAACATAACAAGAAAACCACTGAAAGTGATAGAAATAGCTCCCATCATTGAACCTGTATTAAACCTTTTACCTGATGATGAAGCTAATGAATTGTATCAGAACGTTGGATGCATCCTGTCGAATGAAAAGCAGGTAATCCTGTAAATCTGTAACTTAGTTATACTATTGGTCCAAACTTATGCTTTAATCAAGTATACTACTATTAGATGAATGCGTTTTTCTTATTTAGATTATCTTTCAACACACTGAGATAAGATTATAAGTTTCGAGACAGTAGATGTTACGAATTTCCCAAAATAATTTAATCTCCAAGTCAGATTGAATCAGTATAAATTATTTAAAATAATCCCAACATAACTAACCCTTACAAACCAAACTATAGAAAATTAATTTGATGCTCGCTAGTGACTTGCTACAGGATGGAGTTTCCTGGAGTTCTAGTGAGAAGTCGTGACCAGTGAGGTCCAATTAGATGTCACGTGTGTGGATGGATGTCCCACCAACGACAATGGTTGGGGTCGCGCTAAAATCACGAATTGGTAGAAGTTAGAATTCATGAGCCATTGAATCGGATCCCAGTGGCTGAATGGTATACGAGCCAGCTTGCCTTGTAACCGGAAGGTCCTGGGTTCGAATCCCAGTGGGTGCGTACTGCCGATGATTCCCAAACTAGGATGAAACAGCAGCTGTCCAGTACTCCGTTTTCTGATATCAATCCGTGATCAACTCATAAAAAACATAACTAACCCTTACAAACCAAACTATAGAAAATCCCAGCGTGTTTAAGAAATGAAAGAATAAAAGTTTCAATAGCTTTAAATCTCCGTAACAGAGCTAGAAACATTTTAACAGATAGTGATGAGATGGAGAACAAATTTTGATTGGAAATGGTTATCCGAAAAAGCTACCAAATGATATTATCGTTCAAAAGGACCAGTCGGAGAAACAGAAAATTGAAAAATCTCGGCCATCAATGATAGCCATTCCATATCGAAAGGAGACAGCTGAACAAATTCAAAGAGTACTTGCTTCATATAATATTAAAGTCTACTTCAAGCTCTCTAGTTCTCTAGAAAAAGCTTTGGTGAATGTCAACGACATGGTTCCCAAAATGACACAAAACAACTGTGTCTATAGGATAAAGTGTTCAGAATGTGAAGCTTGCTATTTAGGGGAGAGCAGTAGACAGGTGAAGGTCAGAGTGAATGAACATAGACTATGCACGAAACATCCACCTAGAAATGAAGTAGAATTAAAAAGTCAAGAAAAAAGTTCAGGTGTAGCAATGCATGCTATAGACAGCAGACATAAGATTGAGTTCGACAATGTCAAAATTCTAGGAAGAGGCTTTCATTCACATAAAGAAACACTGACCTCTGAAGCCTTGCATATTTTAACCACATCGAATGCAGTAAATAGGAGAGAAGGCATAGACTTATCACCTATATGGCAGACTATAATGAAGCGAAACAGATGAGAGGAAAAAATTCAGTCCTAGATTATGACCACTGTGAAATATTATCATGTTTTAACGTGTTTTCCACATAATAAACAACATACAGACAAATATGAATATATGACAATTTAACATTTGTCGTTACAAATATGTGATGACTGTTTATACTTTTACTGGTCAAATTCTACAACAAGCGACGTTCAAAGGAACTCACTTCAATTTATGTAATTTTTGACTGTATAATTTGATGGTTAATAAAATCCGAATAATTCTGCAGTGAAAGCTGTGGACTACATAGCGAAACGTTCAGAAAATTCTTGTTTTGATTTTTTTCTTAAACACGCTGGGATCATTTTAAATAATTTATTATGATTCGATTTGACTCGGAGCTCAAATTATTTTGGAAAATTCGTAACATCTACGATCTGGAAACTTACGAAGTACCAGACAACTGTTTCATCCCTTTCTGAAACTCTTCTTCAGTACGGACCCATGTGCTCACCCACTGGAGATCGAAACCAGGACCTTCAGCCACCGAGACAGAATCCAATGGTCCAGATGTCCTAACTTCTACCACTTCGTGATATGTAGAGCGACCAACACTCACTATTTTTCAATAAATCTCTAAATGAAGTTGGTTCATGATCACTCTTGAAATAAATACTAGTAACAGTTATTGGGAAAATTAATTGTAAACTTTCTTTCTTTCAAAAGATTAATAAGTCGGAGGCTGATGGTTCGAATCATATCGCGACCCAGATCCTCATTTCACCTTCATCCAGCATCAGTTACATCAATAACAGTCTACCAACTGAAAAAAATCTCAGATAGTCTCCCTACCAATTAACAACCTGCTTCTCTCTGTCGAACTTGCTATTATCCAGACTGATAGAAGAAGACCTACCTGAAGAGGTAGTGAGAGGATAAACTTGGAGTATTGGAATGGTTCATTCACCTGACAGCTGGATATTACCTATGATGACTGCAATGAAGTGACGATATGGTTAGTAGTTGAGTGGCGTAGCTCCTCAGCTGGTAGATTCCCGGTATAATGACTCGGGGACTGGGGATTTGAGTTCTACTCAGACCCCGACTTTCATTTCACCATCAGTCATTACTCATTACATGAATAACAGTCCGACAAGCGATCGCTAACTTAAAGATTCCCAGTATCAATATTTTACCCAAAAAGAATTCTTAGGTAAGGTATTTCATCACACTAACTATTATTTGAAGGGTAACCATGGCAACCAATGTGCTCATAGAACTCTATCCTTTAAGAAATCTATACAATTCTTCTCATTTATGAAATCTGAGTAAAGCAAGAACAACAAATTTAGCTCGTTTGTATGAGCCAAATTTCATCTGCTGGACAGTCGTCATACTGTGAATAGCCTGAAGGCATTCAAAGTAATCGACAGGTAAAATAAATCCGGCCTTCTATAATTTACTGAAGCAATCACCATCAAACTGTTGAAACCGAATCTATCTACGCAGGAGAAAATATATTTCAACCTCACATTACCTTGGTGATTATATTCATAAAACAGTGTTGCACAATCTCCTAATTCATCTTTTCTTCTGTATCTTCTGGTATGTTTAAAAATTTACATGAACGTCACATGCCTAAGCCTCCTTGCTATGGTAAAAAGAAGCTTTTGTAGTTATGTAACCGTGTTATGCTAACACTGTTTCTATTTAATCATTTAATTCTCTACATTATTCCGGGCTCATCGTCAACATGGTAAAAGGGAGTTCAAATCTTTTTTGTAATTTATGTATTTTGATATGCAAGCGAAAAGCAACAAGTTGGCAGAAGAAGCATCCAGAGAAGATAGGACTTCAGGTGAACATAGAGAAAACAGAGGTGATGAAGATTCCTGGACAAGAACAACAACAACAACAGACAACGATCAGCATAAATGGGAGGAACCTGAAAGAAACAACCTCTTTCTACCTACCTGGGAAGCATCGTTTCAACTACAGGCGAACGGAACTGATGAGGATATCAAAGCAAGAATCGGAAAAGCAAGACAAGCTTTCATTACTCTCAAGTCTGTGTGGAGGTCAACAGCACTCAGCATGAAAATGAAAATAAGATCCGGATTTTCAACTCCAATGTGAATCGTCAGTGCTACTATACGGATCAGAGACTTGGCCAGCGCGTCATAAAGAGCATCTCAAACAAACTACAGACCTTCATTAACAGTTGTCTTCGCTCAATACAACTCAAGATCAGATGGCCGGCCAGAAAAGATCAGCAACAGAGATCTCTGGGAGCGAACCAACCAGGAACCGATTGTGCAACAAATATGCAGGAAGAAATGGAGATGGATTGGCTGGCCATACTCTGAGGAAACCATCAAGTGACATCACTAGACAAGCCATTGCTCGAGTGGAACCCGGCCGAAAGGGAAGGGCGGCGAGTTGGTCGTCAGTGCGAGGGTGGGTGACTTGGAGGAGGTGATGTGAAGAGGAGATGAAAATATGTGGGCAGACTTGGAGCCAGGTGAAGACTCTAGCAGAGAACCGAACGCAATGGAGATGCACGGCTGAAGCCCTATGTTCCTCTAGGAATTAAAGGAAACAATAATAATAATGATATTATTTAGGTTGTGAGAACAAGAGCAGGGACTGCAACATTAATATCAAATCATCCAA